GGAGGGACGCAGAGCCAGGGTGAAACAAGGTGACAGAGGGTGCAGATGTCCCAGTGCCACTTTACCACCCAGCACAGATGGAGCCACGGAGGAGGAAGCGGTTGCAGAGACAGAGAGCAAGGAATTCCCTGCGCCGAACAAACCGGAGCCTCACCAGCTTCCCGGTGAGCCTGGAGCCACCACAGTTCATCCAGGCCCCGAGGGGACAGTCCTGCAGGGAGACTTGTCCCCAGTGCTGTCCCACACCTCAAGTGGGTCTGACCCCTCTCCTGTGCCCCCCAGGCTGGGACCCGCAGGCATCCAGTTCTTCCTGGTGTCCAGAGTGGAGGTGGCAGTGCGGGAGAGAAGCCCAAAGCCAGCTCCAGTGTCACCTTTCCCAGGGCAGCTGGAGCAGGGAATGTCCCCCGTGCCATCACAGGAGAGGTGTCTGTAGCTGACTCTGGAGTGGCCCTTCCCAGGGCACCCGAAGCAGGGAATGGCCGCTGTGCTACCAAGGGAAGGCATCAGCTGGACAATGGCACAAGCGCTGTGACACACCACAGGCCACCGCGGAGCTCCTGCCGCCGTGGTGCCACCAGTGACTATTCCCGGGATCCAGCAGTGGGAGCGATCCCGGGGCCATCCTGGCAGCGGGGCAGGCGCAGACCCCAGGACAGGGCACATCCCCTCACTGTCCCTGCAGTGGCCTCACGCTGCTCCGCCTGCGCTCGGCAGTAAAGATGCTGCCACCTCCGTGTCCATGCCTGGTGCTGCCTGTTCTCATTGCGATGTCCCCTCAGGGGTCCCTTTGTCCCCGGGCCCGGTCAGAGTCTTGCTTGCACCCAACCCCGAGCCACCATGGTGTCAGCCTATGCCTGTGGTGTTACCTCGGCCCTACCACGGCGGTGTCACTTTGGGCTCTAGGGTTGCGGCGTCGCGAACTCTGCCACCCTGGCGTCTCCTCAGCCCTGCCACCACGCTGTCCCCCTGTCCCCACGGTGTCCCCGCAGGCCCCGTGGGTACCCCAGGCCCGCAGGCCCCGTTGCCATGGCAACGCCCCCCCGGCGCCGCCGGGCGTTTCCATGGCAGCCGCTGAGCTCCCAGGGCGCCCCCAGAGACCGGAAGTGCGTAACGGCGGCGCCGGAACTACCGGGGAGGCGGAAGCGGAAGCGGCGGCGGCCGGGGCCGTGTCCTTCTGTGCCGTGACGCCGGGGCGGCACCATGGTGGACACGGCTTCGCAGGTGCTGCTGGGCTCGGGGCTCACCGTGCTCTCGCAGCCGCTCATGTACGTGAAGGTGCTGGTGCAGGTAAGGGCGGGAGTGGCGGGGTTGAGAGGGGGTACCGGGCTCGGTGTGGGCCGCGCGTGGGGTACAGCCTGCCCGTCCCCGCTGCAGGTGGGCTACGAGCCACTGCCGCCCACCCTGGGGAGGAACATCTTCGGCCGCCAGGTATACCAGCTGCCCGGCCTCTTCTCTTACGGTGAGTCCGCCCCGGTGGGGCCGCCCCGGCGCCGTCCCGGTGCCGCCGTGGTGTCCCCCCGGGGCTGACGGTCCCCGCTGTCCCCAGCCAAGCACATCGTAAAGGTGGACGGGAGAGCGGGACTCTTCAAAGGCCTCGCCCCCCGCCTCTGCTCCAGCGCCATCGGCACCGTGGTGCACAGCAAAGTGCTGCAGGTACCGGCACGGGCGGGGCGCCGGGCCCGGGGCGCTGCGGGAACCGGGGGTTCTGCCGCCGGGACAAGGGGACACCGGGGCCCCCTGGCTCCCCGCGCTGACCCTGCCCTTTGCTCCACAGCGGTACCAGGAGGCTGAGCAGTCTGAGGTGGGTGCAGAGGTGCTTCCCACAGGGAATCCATCCTTCCCTTCCCTTCATCCCTGTCTCCTTCCTTCTCCCTCTTTCCATTTCTCTGTTTTTCTATTCCTCCCTTCTTTTTTCTTTCTCTTCTTCTTTCCCTCATTCCTTTCTCCTTTTTCTTTCTCCTTTCCCTCCTCCTCTTCTCTCTTCCCTTCTGTTCTTCTCTCCATTTTCCCTTCTCCATTTCTTCCCTCCTCCTTTTCCCCTTTGTTTCCCTCCATCCTTTCCTCCTCCTTCTCTCCTTTCTCTGTTCCCTCTCTCCCTCCCCTCGCCCCCTGGCTTTGGACAGCCCCAGCCCTGGCTCTGGAGCGCTCCAGTGGGCCGGGAGCTTCCACCCCCAGCCTGGGGACAACATCCCTTCTCCGGGCTGTTCCCAACTGTCTCTTCCTTCCCCCTCCAGCCTGGAGTCAGCAAGAAGGTGTTCTCACTGGAGCATGTGCTCAAGCAGGTGAGGAGGAGGAGGAGGAGGAGGAGGAGGAAGGCAGTGGGATGTCACATCCCTGTCCCCTCCTGGTGATGTTCCCTTTGTTCCCAGACCTCCCAGGAGATGGTCGCCCGCTCCGCCGCCACCCTCATCACCCACCCCTTCCACGGTAGGTGTCCCCCCATCCCAGGGGACCGGGGGGCGCGGTGCCAGGCGCTTCCCATCACTCCCGTGTCGCTCCCGTGTCCCCGCAGTGATCACCCTGCGCTGCATGGTGCAGTTCATCGGCCGTGAGACCAAGTACAGGTACGGCCTGGGGGCTCTGGGGGCTCCGGGAGCTTTGGGGTCCTGGCATCGCCCTGACGTTGTCCCTTCTCTTTCTCCCTATCCCAGTGGGACACTAAGCGCCTTCACCACAATCTACCAGGAAGAGGGAATCCTGGGATTCTTCGCGTGAGTGCTGGCAAGGCAGGGAGGGGCACGGCGGGGCTGACATCAGTGGGAAGGTCCCAGAGCCCTCTGGGGAGTTTCTTCAATCCCTCCAGCAGCTCCGGATCACTCACCTGAGCATCCCCATTCCCAGGGATGGCCGTTCCCCGTCACCCAGCTGCTGTGGGAACAGCTGCCCCTGTCCCAAAACCAGCCGTTCCCAGCTCTCCGCACAGTCGGATCCCAACCCTCAGCCGACATTCCTACTGTTTGTTCCCTTGCAGCGGCCTCATCCCGCGGCTCCTCGGGGACATCCTCTCCCTGTGGCTGTGCAACATGCTGGCCTACCTCATCAACACATACGCGCTGGAGAGCGGGGTAGGCTCCGCTCCGGGATCCAGGGAGCCGGGAGCTGACGGGGGCAGCTCCAGGGCTGTTCTGGGAGCCATGGCCCCGTTCTGGGGGGGATTCAGGTGCTGTTGCTCCTCCCTCAGGTCTCCACCATGACCGAGGTGAATAGCTACTCCCACGCGGTCACTGGGGTGAGTACAGCCACGGGCAGGACGTGGATCCTTTCCCTAGGGAGTGGTGTGTTCCCGGAATCCTGCGGCTGCCAGGGTGGGGATGGAGCCAGGCTGGGATCAGCAGGATCAGCCCACAGGCCAAGGGATGCTCCGTGGAGGAAATGTGTGACCCTGTGGAGGTGGCAGGAGTGGGCTCCCTCTCTGGGGTGAAACTCCCAGGGGATCTCCCCATGTGGAGGGAAGAGGGAACATCCCACCGATCCCCGCTTTTCCTGCAGTTCTTTGCCAGCATGCTGACCTATCCCTTCGTCCTGGTCTCCAACCTGATGGCTGTGAACAACTGCGGGTGAGTCCCTAATCCCACTGACACTCTGCCCTGGAACAGCTCCTGGAACCACTTGTCCAAAATTCCCAGATGGGAAGGTGCTTCCAGTGCTCCACAAGGTTGATCCCTCTTTGCTTGAAGTGGGAAAAGGTTTTTTTGTTGTTCAACCCAGTGTGGAGCCACAGAGGGGATGGGTCATTCCTGGGTAAGAATAGTTCCCTGTGGGAATAATTCCCAGTGGGTCTTTCCCTTCTTCCTCAGGTTGGCTGGGGGTCTCCTTCCTTATGCACCCACCTACTCCTCCTGGCTGGATTGCTGGAGCCAGCTGCACAGGGAGGTAAGTGCTGAGTCTGGGATGCACCAGGACACGGAGAGGAGCCGGGTGGGAGCTCTGTGGGGTTGGAGAGGCCACCTTGGGCCTTGTGTCCTCCATGGTCGTTTTCCCTTTCCAGGGCAACATGAGCCGAGGGAACAGCCTGTTCTTCCGCAAGGTTCCAGCAGGGAAGCGATACGTGTGGGAGGAGCGGAGGTTCCGCTGATTCTGAAGATGGGAGTGGGATTGTGGAGCCAATGCTGGGCTCTGGAAGCAAAGAATCATGGAGAGTGTTGATTTCTATACAGTTTTTTAAAAATCATTTCCTGCTGAGAGCTGAAGGTGCAAGTGTGAGAGTTTCTGTCCGTGGGGGTTTCCTAGGAAGACGGTCACCAGCATTCCCTGATTTATCTGGGAGCCTTTTCCCAGCCTCAAACACTGTTGAGGCTGTTTCCACAGGGGAAATTCCCTGGCAACCCCAGGCACCTGGTGACACGGAGGGCCAGTGGCATGTGGGAGCTGTCAGAAGTGGGAGGAATGTGTGCCTGGAAGGGGTTGTTGGACACCTGGAAGGGTCCTTGCAAGGCCCATGGAAGGGGTAGAGGTGAGCCTTGCACACCTGGGCAGAGGTTTGCACACCCAGGGGGGTGTGTAGAGCTGGGAGGCGCAGTCACACAGCTGGTGGGGTCACAGCAAGGGGTCATTGCACATCTGGCGGGGGCTGCTGCACACGTGATGAGGGTTATAGCACAGCTGGAGCAGGACTTGCACAACCGGCAGAGCCGGAGGGTTGTTGCAAAGCTGGAAGGTAGGTCACACACCTGGCAGGAGTTGTTGCACACCTGGTGGAGGCTGCTGCACGGCTGGAACAGGACTTGCACACCTGGCAGGCACATTGTGAAGGTGGGACGTGGGTCACACGCCTGGCGGCGGCTGTCGCGTACCGAACGAGGGCATGGCCAAGCTGGCAGGCGGTTTCAGACCCGGCAGGGGCCGTTCCGCGCCGGCGGAGGCTGTCGTGCACCGGGCCGGACTGCCGCGCCCCCGGGACGGCCGGGCCGGGGCGGGAGCGAGCTCGGTGCGGGGGGCGGTGCCGGTGTCTCCCTGTGTCCCTCCTCCCTCGCCGCTCCTCCCCGCCCCGTGCCGGCGCCATGGCGGGCCCGGGCGGTGCAGGGGACGCGGGGGATGTGCTGAGCGGCGGCAGCGAGCGGCGGTGCCGGGCGCGGCTGGCGGCGGGAGCGGGGGGCGCGGCGGCGGCGGCCGCGGTGCTGGTGCCGCTGTGCTCGGTGCGCGGCCGCCCCGCGCTGCTCTTCACGCTCCGCTCCCGCCGCCTCGCCGGCCCCCACAGCGGCGACGTCAGGTACCGGCGGGGGGAGCGGGCACCGGGGCCGAGCCGGCCCTGACCCCCCCCATCCCTCCCGCAGCTTCCCCGGTGGGCGGCGGGACCCGGCGGACGGGGACGCGGTGGCCACGGCTCTGCGGGAGACGCGGGAGGAGCTGGGGGTGGCGGTGGCACCCAGCAGCGTCTGGGGACAGCTTCGGACACTGCCCGACCGGGTACCGGGGATCGGCGGGGACGAGGGCGTGCGGGGACGAGAGCAAAAGGGCAGGAGGCAGGGACACGGGGATGGGTTCAAGGTGACAGGGAAGGTGGCAGAGTCGTGGGTGACCGGGGAAAGGCAGGAGGGTCATGAGTGACGGGTTTGAGGAGACGGGGATAAGGGTTCTGGTGTGATGGGTTTGGGGTGACAGGGGCACAGGTGACAGGAACAAGGGGTGACAGGGGTGACAAGGCCGCAGGAACACAGAGAAGGGGTTCAGTTGACAGAGACAAAGCAGTAGGGACACAGGTGACAGCAAGAGTTCTGGGTGACAGGGACAAGGCAACAGGGAGATGGGTGACAGTGTACAGGTGACAGAGGGACAGGAACACAGAGGTGAGGGAGGTTGCAGGCAGCAGAGGATTGGAATGACAAGGAAAAGGCAACAGGGTCATGTGTGACAGGTTCAGGGACAGGTCAGGGACACAGGTGATAGGTGTTACAGATGGTGGGGATTCTGGGTGACAGGGAGAGGGCAGCAGGGACAAGGGTGGTGGATTTGGTGTGACAGGGACACAGCTGATGGGTTACAGGTGACAGGGACAGGTCAGCAGGGACACAAGTGACAAGAGTTCTGGGGATTCAAGGCAACAGGTGAGGGAGTGACACACATGATGGGTGCCTGCACTGGGTGCAGGGGGGTCAGGGTGCAGGCACTTGGGGGAGGGGGTGTTACCCTGTCCCTTGCTGACACACCTTCCAGCATGGAATGACCGTGGCACCCGTCGTGGCCAACCTGGGGCCGCTGGAGGCCTTGACACTGAACCCCAACCCTGACGAGGTGAGTGACTCCTCCCCAGGCCCGCTCCCCTTCCCATGGCAGCCGCTCCTGGTCACTGTGGTCTGTGCTGACAGGTGGAGGAGGTGTTCACCCTGCCCCTGGCTCACCTGCTCCGCAAGGAGAACCAGGGCTACACCAACTTCCGTACGGCCAGCGGCTATGGATACACCTTGCCTGTGTTCCTCAACGGCCCCCACAAGGTGTGGGGGCTCACAGCCATCGTCACCGAGCTGACCCTGGAGCTGCTGGTGCCTGGCCGCTACCGCAGGAAGACCCACGTGCCTCCCAGGAAAGCCCCGGCCTGAGCGGGGAGCGGCAGGGGGAGGCTGTGGGGTCCCGTGCCTCGGTTCTCCACCCGTGCACGGGGGACACGGCTCTGAGCTCAGCACTGATGTCGCACACTGTGATTCAGTAAAAGCCATGTTTGGAACTGCCCTGGGCTTCGAGTTGTGGAATGTGGCCAGGACAGCTGGTCCCTTGGCACGGGCACAGGAGGAGGGAGGAGTCCTGGTGCCACTGCAGCGGGGACAAGGAGTGTAGGGTCCCCAAGGAGGGGACTGTCTGTCAGTACGTTACAGCCATCGCCTCTGTCCCACCCCCAGCCTCATGGAAATCCAGGATCTCCTCTCTGGGGTATCCAGGCCCCAGCTGTGTGACCCCGTGATCCCTGAGGATCTCCTGCTCCAGGGGCAGCAGGACTCAGAGGCCCTCTGCTTTGTCAGACCCTTCCTACCATTAGTATGTCCACAGCAGAGCCTGGGAGCACAGCACCATTTATTGAGGACCCTCTGGAGAACCCTCTGAGTGCTGCCAACACCCCAGAAACCCCTTCCAAGCAGGAGAAGGGAGGTGTGGTGGTGAATCCTTACGCCGACGCCGCTCGGGCTTTGGCCTCGTTGTAGCGCCGCATCCTCTCCTCCAGCTCGGGGCGGAAGTGGCGGATGAGGCCCTGCATGGGGCAGGGGAGTTGGTCAGTGGGGTGGGGGAACGCTGCTGGCCCCTCCAAGTCCTCTGAGCCCCTCACCTGCACGGGCCAGGCTGCACCATCACCCAGGGCACAGATAGTGTGTCCCTCGATCTGCTTGCTGATCTCCCAGAGCGCGTCGATCTCGGCGGCCTGCGCGTCGCCCCGCACAAACCGCGCCATCACCTTGTTCATCCAGTCCACGCCTGTGGGAATTGGGATGGGTCCCTGCAGTGCCCCGCCCCGCAGCCCCTCACCCACAGCCCCCTGCTCACCTTCCCGGCACGGGGTGCACTGCCCACAGCTCTCATGCTTGTAGAACTCGATCAGGCGTGCGATGGCTTTGATGACGTCGGTCTGGGACGAGAGGGAGGGTGAGGAAGGTGAAGGTCCCACCGTGGCTGGGGGAGCCACTGGGGGCCCATCCCTTACCGATTTATCCATGACGATGACGGCGGCCGTGCCCAGCCCGCTCTGTGCCTGCACCAGGGAATCGAAGTCCATCAGCACCGTCTCACACACGGATTTGGGCAGCAGCGGCGTGGAGGAGCCGCCCGGGATGACGGCCAGCAGGTTGTCCCAGCCCCCACGGACACCTCCTGCAGACAGGATGGTCAGGATGGGCAACTCCAGCCCCGCTCTGGCCCGGCTCGGCCACGGCACTCACCGGCGTGTTTCTCGATGAGCTCCTTCAGCGGCACCGACATCTCCTCCTCCACCGTGCAGGGCGTGTTGACGTGCCCCGAGATGTTGAAGAGCTTGGTGCCGGAATTCCGCTCCCGGCCGAAGCTGGCGAACCAGGCACCGCCGCGTCGGCAGATCGTGGGGGCCACCGACACCGTCTCCACGTTGGCCACCGTGGTGGGGCAGCCAAACACACCTGGAAAAACATTGGGAAAAAACTCCTCCCTGTGAGGGTGGTGATGCCCTGGCACAAGTGGCTCAAAGATGCTGTGGCTGCCCCACCCCTGGAAGTGTCCAAGGCCAGGTTCAACAGGGTTTGGAGCAACCTGGGATCACGGTATGTGGCCCATGGAAGCGGGGTGGAATGAGACAGTGTTTTCAGGTCCCCTACAACCCACACCGTTTCATGAAACAGTGGGAGCTCTCAGTGGACATGGTGTTGGCTGTGGTGCTGTCCTCGCAGCAGGACGGTGTCCTGGGGACAGCTGTTTTGGAGTGGCAGCTGGCAATTAAGGACAGAACTGTGGGGCCGTACCCACATCAGCGGGGAAGGGGGGCTTGAGGCGGGGCTTCCCCTGCTTGCCCTCGATGGACTCGATGAGTGCTGTCTCCTCCCCGCAGATGTAGGCGCCGGCTCCGCGCACCACGAACACGTCAAAGGCGTACCCCGACCCGCAGGCATCGCCGCCCAGCAGCCCGGCCTCGTACGCCTCACGGATGGCCACCTGCAGCGGGGCAGCTGCTGAGCCCGGGAGCGCCCCGAGCCACGCCAGGAGCTGTGGGGTGGCTGTGGGGCGCTCCCCCCACCTGCAGGTTGGAGGCCTCGTTGTAGAACTCCCCGCGGATGTAGATGTAGGCGGCACGGGCCCCCATGGCCCGCCCCGCCACCAGGCAGCCCTCCAGCAGCTTGTGCGGGTCGTGCCGCATGATCTCCCGGTCCTTGCAGGTGCCCGGCTCGCCCTCGTCCGCGTTCACCACCAGGTACTTGGGTCTGCGGGCAGCTCACGTCAGGGGGGGCTCCCCCAGGGCGGGGCCGCGGTACCGGAGCTGTGGCCGGTCCTGGTCTCACCTCCCGTCCGGGGGTTTGTTCATGAAGCTCCACTTGAGCCCGGTGGGGAACCCGGCGCCGCCGCGGCCCCGCAGCCCCGAGGTCTTGATCTCGCCGAGGATCCAGTCCACCCCCTTGAGCAGGATCTCCTTCGTCTTGTACCAATCCCCGCGGCGGAGCGCGCCCTGCAGCCTGCGGGCACCGGGCACGGTGGCACCGGGCACGGGGCTCGGCGCACCGGCGCTCCCCGCGCTGCTCCCGCTACTCACCGCCAGTCGTGCCGCCCGTAGAGGTTGGTGAAGATCCGGTCCTCATCCCGCAGCGACCCGAACTGCGTCTTCTTGGGCGCCGTCTGAGGGGGACACACGGATTCAGCACAGGGAGCACCGGGACCCGTCTCGCATGGTCCCGGCGCTCCCCGCCCCATCCCCTCTCACCGAGTAGGAGGCGGCGGACAGGCGCCGTAGCGCCAGCAGCTGCCTGCCGGCCATGGCGGGGGGCACCGGCACCGGGACCGACCACCGTCACCTTCAGCCGCCCCCGCGGTGACGTCAGGGGGAGCGCCGGCGGCGCGGCAGTGACGTCAGGGAGAGAGGCCGGACCGGGGCCTGTTTGGGGGCGGGGCCGCGCGGAGGGGGCGGGGCCAGAGCAGGGGGCGCGCTCGCAAGGCGGGCTCGTGGCCCCGGAGGGGGCGTGGCCTCGCTGGCGGCGCGCCGGCACGTGCCCCGCGCCCGGGCCCGGCTCGGGTTTCGGCGCTGAAACCGGAGCCCCCCCGCCCGCCCCACCCGGAGCCCCCCGGGGCGCCCCGCTCCTCCCTCCCAGCGCCCCGGGGGGTCGCTGCGCTCCACCCGATCTCCGGGCGACACGGCGGGTCCCGGGGAGAGCGGTGGCCTCGTCCCTGCGAGGGACGAGCGCAGGTTCGGGAAGATCTGGTTTCCTCCTGTTCGGTCCCGGTGGTGGGGAGAAGGAGCAGGAGCGGGCGGAATGTTCTTCCTCTTCCGCGGGCCGCAGCGGCGCGGCGCTGGCAGCCCCGCGCCCCCCATCTGCCGGGGCACCCCCCGGCACCACGGCCCTGGCCGGAGGGGTGCCCGCGGCTCCCGCCCGGCCCCTCGGCTCAGGCGTCCCGGCAGCGCCGGCGCTGCTGGGAGCCGGGGAAGATTAAACCGTAGTGGTGCGTCCCCCGTGGAGCGTCAGTGGGCTGCCGAAGAGCCGGGGTCCCGGCCGCCCCCTGCTTTTGGGCAGGTAACCGGCAGCGGGGACAGGGCAGGGGCACGGTGGGTACCGGGGATCCTGCGTGCCCTCGCAGGGAGGCTGCGAGACTGGGGAACAGCTGGGCGGCTGCCCACATCTGGAGCAGGGCGGCCGAGCGGGGAATAATCCGGAGGATTATGCACGCGGGCGCGGCACCCACCCCCCCGCGCCTGCCCTGCATATCCCCAGATATTCCATAAAAACCTCAAATCCCCGGTGGCAGCCCCACGGTCTGCGCCAGCCAGCCCCCCCCACCCGGGGCCAGGCATGTCCTGCGGCGCGGGGGCAGCCCCCAGCCATGGGCAACTGCACCAAGACCCCTGAGCGGCGGCTCCCCAAGGTAGGGCAGGGCTGCGATACCCCGCGGGGCAGCGGGAGGAGGAGGAGGAGGAGGAGGAGGGGGTCCCTGCTTGGCCCCCCCTCGCCGCTGATGCCTGCTCCACCCGCAGGATGGGAAGCCGCGCTCGGGCGCTCCAGGCTCCGGCGCAGAGGACCCCGAGGACGTGCTGGACGCGGCGCAAACCCCCCCGATGCAGGGATACTCGGTGCTGCAGGGGCTGGTGGGGCCGGCCTGCATCTTCCTGCGGCAGAGCATCGCCATCACCCAACGGGTACGCGACCGTCCCCTCCCCGTGTGCTGCCTGCGCTCCCGGGGGACTTAGGGCAGAATCCCGGTAGGATTGCCGGGAGTAGGACCCCTCCTTCGTCTCTTCCCGTTTTCTCTTCCCCAGGACCGGGAGCTGCGGCCCGAGGAGATTGAAGGTGAGGCGCTGGGGAGGGGGTCCTGCTCAGGTGGGTGGCGGTGCCGGGGTGCCGGTGGTGACGCTGTGGTGTCCCCAGAGCTGAAGCAGGCATTCCGGGAGTTTGACAAGGACCACGATGGCTACATCAGCTACAAGGACCTGGGCGAGTGCATGCGGACCATGGGTTACATGCCCACGGAGATGGAGCTCATCGAGCTGTCCCAGCAGATCAGTACGTGGTGGGGCAGCCGGTCCCCTTCAATCCCTGCCCCATGCCCTGCTGACACCCCTCTCCTGCCACAGCCGGGGGCAAGGTGGATTTTGATGATTTCGTGGAGCTGATGGGCCCCAAGATGCTGGCGGAGACGGCGGATATGATTGGGATCAAGGAGCTGCGTGATGCCTTCCGTGAGGTACGGGGACGGCGGGGACGGGCAGGTAGGCTTCCAGCATGCCAGGGGTGGCCGGTGGCAACAGGACCTTGTCTGTAGTTTGACACCAATGGGGACGGACAGATCAGCATGGCAGAGCTGCGGGAGGCCATGCGCAAGCTCCTGGGGCAGCAGCTCAACTATCGGGAGGTGGATGAGATCCTCAAGGACGTGGATCTCAATGGCGATGGCCTGGTGGACTTTGAAGGTAGGAGCAGGGAAAGGGCCAGGAGAGCCTCCAGGGACAGCTGGGATGTTCCATGTGTGTTTTCCTCCGGCAGAGTTTGTGCGGATGATGTCGCGCTGAGAGCCGTATCTGCCAATGCGGGACCCAAGCCCCCCGTGCCTTACGAAGAGGAGGGGGCCACAGAGGGACCCCCAGGTCCAGGGGCTGGGGCAGTGCTGGCACAGCGGTGCCTATGGCTGGGGTGAGGCCGGGTGCCGGAGCTGCTCCGATGCTGTGGTCTGACCGTGGTGGGAGGCACCGGGGCTAAAGTCGGGACCCTTTTCGGCACAGGCTCAGCCGAGCTTCGACCACTCTCGCTCTCACCTCTGCTCTCTCCCTGCATCATCCCCCTTCCCACCCAGACCTCATCCTAAAAGTCACACCATCGTGGTCCCCTCTCCTTCAGCTGTGCCCCATCCCTGCTGCTCATCTCTCCAGCCTCCATTCCCACTCTGGGTACCACACTGAGCCTCTCAGGCTCCCTCCAGACCATGTTTAATATGGACTGCACAGCAAAACCCTCCCCGTCACCATGGTTTGAGCTCAGACCTACCCCAGACCCACCTAGGGTGAGGCATCCCCCCCTTTTGGGGCTGGTACAGACCCTCATGGGTGTTTTGGCAGCCTCCAGCACAAGGGAGATTCCTGGCAGCCCAGCCAGGAGCCCCTCAAAGAGAAAAATGAAGCATTACTGGGTAGAAGGGCCTCAGTCATCTGCAGGCAGGGCTGCTGCAGGTACCCTCCCTGCCCTGGCTGCAGTTTTGGGGCCAATTTTGCCCTTTCGAAATGATAAAATTCTCTCTACAGACTTCTGTTTTGTGTTTTATGCTGTTTTCAAAAGTTTTATTCGTGATAGTGCCATCCACTGGTATCCCCCCAAAATCCTGGACTCCCTGGACTGTGTCTCACGGGAGCCTCGCAGAGAACCGGGCACTCTCTCACCTGTGCGGGCACAGGGCTCCGGCGAATGCACGGCCGGCGGGTGGGGCCGGTTCCCGGGACGGGCGGCAGCGATGATCCCCAAAGTCCGGGCCGGGGTTCACGCCCACAGAGTCAGGACGCCCTGACCGGCTCGGGGCTGTGGGGTGACACGGGTTCCTTGGCGGTGGGGGGAGCGCGGCGGTGCCGGTGGTGCCTCCCGATACCCCCCGAGGCGGCGCCGCAGAGCCCCCAGCGAGGGGGCGCGGCCTACACAGGAGTCACGTGTTCGGAGAGGCACCGAGGGGGCGGGGCCGACGCCGCGTGTCTCCACGGTGACCGGCCAGCGGGCGCGCGGCGGCGTAATGACGTCGCGCTCGTGACGCGCCTGCGTCATCACCGCGAGCGCCGGCGGCGGCGGAGGGGGGAGAGACCCGGGTCAGGCCGGGGCCGCGCAGCGCTACCGGGAACCGGGGCCGCCGCGCTCCGCTCCGGTTCCCGGCTTCCTGCCGGGCCGAGCGGGGCCGAGCTGAGCTGAAGAGAGGCGGGCACCGGCGATATAACCGGCGGGGCGAGCGCGGGGGCCGCACGCCGACCCCCGCCGCGGGGCTCCAGGGATCCGGGAGCGGCGGGCGGCCGTCGGGGATGTCCTACAAGCCCATCGCTCCCGCCCCCGCTACCCCCGGAGCCGCCAGCGCCAGCCCCGCCCCGCCGGGGCCTGGGGCACCTTCCGCCGGTGAGAGAACCCCGCGGTAACCGGGGGGCACCGGGAGCGGAGAGGGACCGGAGGGATGGAGGGTGGTAGCCCGGGAAGGGATGGTACCGGATGAGGGAGGTAACGAGGAAGGGGGAGTGCGGCCGTGACTCTCGGTTTCCCGCAGCCACGAGTGTCCCGTCGCCCTCCGGTTCCGTCCCTGGCGCCGCCGCCCCTTTCCGGCCGCTCTTCAATGACTTCGGGCCGCCGTCCATGGGCTACGTGCAGGTGAGGCGCGGGGCCGGGGCCGGCGGGGCCGGGCGCGGCGGCGGGGATGGCCCCCAGCCCCTCCGTCCCTACGTGTCCCCCTGTTCCCGCAGGCTATGAAGCCCCCCGGGGCGCAGGGCTCGCAGAGCACCTACACCGACCTGCTCTCGGTCATCGAGGAGATGGGGAAGGAGATCCGGCCCACCTACGCCGGCAGCAAGAGCGCCATGGAGCGGCTGAAGCGGGGTAGGGGCAGGGGGTGGAACCGGGCGGCCGCGGGGCTGCGCCCCCGAGGCTCCCCAGCCCCTCGGGGAGCGACTGGAGGGTGATTGGAGGTGTCCCTGTGCTTCTCCCCGCAGGGATCATCCACGCCCGGGCGCTGGTCAGGGAGTGCCTGGCAGAGACAGAGCGAAACGCCCGCACGTAACGGCAGCTGCCACCCGGGACCCCCCGGGACCTCCCGGTGGTGGCGGCGGGGGCGGGGGGGCCGCCGTGCTGCCCGAGCCCCCCCTCCCCGCGCTCTCCGCTCTTTATAAATGCGTGTTTTTATAAATAAAGGACAATGTTGGGACTTAGCCTCGGTGTGTCCCGCGCGGGGGTGGGTCCCGATGGCGATGGTGGGACGCGGGGTAGAGCTCGGGGGGTCGGGGAAGGGTTTGGAGCCGCGCTGGTGGGTGTCCCGGAGCTGAGAGGTGCAGGAGTGATCAAACCACTCGTTGATGACTTTAAAAAGTGGCTTTTTAAATAAAACACCGGGGTTTTCCGGGGGCGGCGGTGCCGGTACACGCGGAGCGCCCGTGAGTGGCGCTCGCTGCCTTCCGCTCTCTGACGTCACGGGGCCCCCCCTCACCTCCCTACGTCACGGCTGTCGCCGTGGGAACGGGCTGTGATGTCACGATCCGAGGGGCCGGTGCAGAGCGGCGCAGGTTCGGTGGGGCCGGGGGACGGCGGGGACCGGGCGGGCGGGGGGGGGGGGAGGGGGGCGC